ATCTGTACTGACTCCAAAGTCAATTGCGATCTTATTTTTTACACAGGATATCAGCTAATGTAGATAAAGGATTTCATATCTGTAGGTGATTATCCATTAATTTATCAATGCTTAATGCACAACCTATTATGAATCCCGTGGGTACCATAGTTAATGAAAACGATACTATTTAAATAAGTATGTAATCTATTGTAATTGTTCGATTTCGGCCTACTACAGAGTGATAAATAAAATAATATGAAGGATGATCAACAAAATATCGTGACATGCTAATGCACATCTTCCTTGACGACATATGTAATAAATGATTACTTATACTTGTTCACATGTAGAGCAAGTTAATTTCAATTCAGATCTACAGTATAGTCTTGCTGACTATATAACCAAATTTTTTATCATAGTGCTATTTTATCTAGGATAGATGATTAGTAATGGTTGTAGATACGTAGTGAAGAAATAGTAGGCTTTAAAACAAAAACATTTCAATGGCATACGTTCAATTTTGTAAATTTCACACCGCATTAAAATAAAATAGATCACAAGCGAAGATTAAAAGCTGGAACATGGATTATCGAGTAATATTAAGTTAAGAATGGAATTAAAGGCGTCAAACTTATGACAAACACATAGCATATAAAAAATAAAATACACGGAAGTAAATAAATAGAGAGAATTTGGGATGAACACTTTATAAGTTAATTTTGAATGATAATATCTATCCATACCAGTTCACTCCTGCTTGATCTATTAGGATAGACCGGATACAACGTTTTAACGAGTATTTCACAGTTCTTGAATCTTGATACTCAAGCTAACGGTTTATTAATGGAGCTGATGAAGAAAAAGTAATTAGCGAATTTGTCCGTCAAAAAAGCGCCAAGAGTGAGATAGGGAAGAAAAGTAGAAAAACAAATTTATTCGACTGTCATGCGATCACATTATTGACTTTGAGTTCATTAATGAATAATGCAACAGCACCGTTTGCAAAGAAAGAAATAACAATCAATTATTTTCAATTGGTTGTTGAATTTGAGCTATTATCACGCAAATAAAATTAGAATTCAGGAAGGGTAGATTGACAATAGTTTAGAGCTTAATAGTTAGAGCATACCAAAGTTTTAATAACATTTATTGGTACTGCTAAAGTAAAACAAGTGATGGTATAAGGTTTACAAAGTATCTTGATCAGCTCAAGGCTTTCAATACAGGAACAGTATATATAGTAGGTCATCATCATGAATCATACGACTCGTAATAAATCGTTTGATTGCAATTCAGCTTGTTTAACAACTTGTTATTCCAGTCACAGAGTATATTCTTATAGGCCAATCTTTGTTAGCAAGACACTTAGTGTATCCAAGGCTGTTATCAAATTAAATTTCTCACTCTTACTCCTGTACCTTGTCTACTTACAAACTAGCGACCCGTATATTGTTTTAGTCAGTTACAGTTTCGGAATTCCTTGTGTTTTTCACCATCTTCTTGGAAAGTTGACCATCTGTAATTAGTTAAAATTGACATTATCAATTCTACTTTAATACCTTGAGTAGTATCTATCAAAGTCATTGTAATTAAGGGTAAAGCCATCAGAAATATTATACAGGATGCACCTTGATCGATAATGGTGATGATAATCCTATTTCTGCAATGTAGATTACATCTAGTAAATTATATTACCTGTCTGTTTACCTCTGTCATAATGATGCTGGTTGGCCTCTTCATCTTCCGTACCGACAGCGATGGCTGATTGCAAATTACAATGCAAGAAACATCGAGGATATTTACGCACGATTGTGTGAAGTCGTTGTCAATGCCTCTTCTTCATAATCCTATATTTTCTCAATATAAGAAAAGTGCCACTATNGAGAGAATTAAATCAAATTGCGCAGGGTAGTGATATCAATACCTGCACTTGATCTATATCGATCTATACCGTCTACATTCTGCATCAACAGAGCAATCACTGGGATGCTATTAGTGTAAGCCAATCGACGTGTAGTTAACAGTGCTTAGCGATATTTTGGGGATGATTAGTTCATTCTGCATCTTCAATTGATGTAGTGTGGATAAATTGCCAATCAATATTGCAGCCTTACTTCTTTTAGTTATAGCAATACTCAAAACAGATTGTGGTAAGGACTACGGTTCATCTTCCATTTGAATTATGTTAGTACTGTCATAACTTACTTACCTTGTCCATATTGTAATAGAAAATGTTTATCCCAATAATCTTCAAGCAGCTATCAATTCCTAACAGGAATCATGGATGATTTGTCCTATTTTTGCCATATCGATAAACTCTAGTATAAGATTGAATTTAATCACCTATCGTCACAAGTACGCGTACTTGTCACACGATGAGGCAACAAGAAAATGTTAGCTGATCAATAGTTGATTCAAGAATACAGACGGCTTTGATTACACTATATTTAAGTAATCCTTGCACTAGAGTAATGAAAGTGAATAGCAATGGCATGGATGATAGTCATAATATATAATGAGTCATTTGATTGTAATTCAGTTTATTGAAGAACTTGCCATGTCAGTAAAGCTAGTCAGTGAGTATTTTCTTCTAGGTCAATCTTCGTCAGCAAGGCGCATAGCCCACCCAAGACTGTGCGATCAAATCGAGTATCTCATTCTTGCTTCTCTATCTTGTTCATCCAAAATATCCACTCGTCTATTGTACTAGTCAATTATAGTTTAGTAATTCCTTGTGTTTTTGGTCATCCCCTTGGGAAGTTGACGATCTGTAATAAGTTAAAACTGGCAATACTTATTCTACTTTAGTACCTCGAGTAACGTTCATCAAGTCATTGTAATTTAGGGTAGAGTCTGCTATCAACAATTTTGTAACATGCTTATATGTTATATAACAGATATTTGTCTACAGTTCTACAAAACCTTTCATAATAATAACTACATTCTATCGAAATGACAACTAGGTATGCAGGTACTCGTGTTTATCTTTACAATTGATTATGAACTTTAGTAAGTTGGCGAAATTTGGAATGATAGCTAATAAGGAAAAACGGACTGTATAAGTGACAGCAATTGATTTAATAAAGATCTTGAGTAACGTTAATTGAAGCGACTACAAAATGAAATTGCGTACTGATTTTAAACAAAACTTGGCCGTACTTGAGCAATTCCATTTTCAAACCAGTTATTAACTCATCACTATTTTTCAGCATGAAAGTCAACATAGCACAAAGTGTGAAACGATTGACTAGTGCTAGTAAACACCGGAAATGATGACCGTGCAGGGATAATCCCTTCATTCATTGCAGCAAAACCTGTTGGATTCCTGCTTTAACAACGGATAAATGAACAGCCATGTTGAACGAAAGCTTTCTACAGCTGCTAGTACAAACTACTGTAGTAACAACATGTTCATTAATAGCATGCAATTTAGTCAAAAAGATTGGGAGAGGGTAAGTTGGAGTGGGCGCCTGTTCAGCTGTTCCATGTTGACAAGAAATCAAAAGTAAAATTATTGAAACGTAGTCACTGATCCATTTGGTTGCTTCTCATGTAAATAAAATGATTGTGCAAGTCGGAGTGTATTCAAAACTCGTTGCTTACCTTATAGTTGTGTGTATCTATAGAAGCGTTGAGGATTTCTACCGTCACGATAGAACAACTTGACTGCTCGTGGACTACAAAAATTCCCATTTAAAAATTAAAGTTATTGTATTCATACCTGCAGATGGTTAACCGATAGAATGAAGATCCAATCCATATGCAATCAGACCTTCTCTAGTTCTCCTTGCTGAAGATTATGACAAACACTATTGGCAAATGCAAACAGAAACGGTCATGAGGAGAAGATGGGTAACTGCAATCCTTCCACGTCTTCAAGGTAGTGCATCTGTGCATCAGTGCAAAATAGCTGTCAGCCTATTTACAGTCTACTGTAGCTCTACAACGGACAACTTTATCAACATGACATGAATACAGTCCCATCTGATGCAAAAAAGCATCTTGTCTAATGCATCATCGCCATCTTGCATAAAGTAAGCGCTTAGTCTTTTACTGAAACTGTAAATGAAAATGACTTGTGCAAAAACTAATGGAGTAGTCGCTATTCTATCTTGTCACCTGGTTATGCCAACATCGTGCTATCAAATAATTATTTGAAATAGAAAAAGAATGAAGTTAAGTTATTGAATTAAGTTATGTCGGGTATCGTAATGAAATCGTATTACAGTATTCTCTCTAGCTTGTTTAGTATCGTTCATGCTAAACTTACTGAGTGGGTAAAACTTGCAGTTTGGTACTACAATTTAAAATGAATTGGACTGTGATGATTACTCCATTTATTACCATAAAACGATTGCTGTAAAAGAAGGCGTAGTACTGCCATTAATTTGATATTTGTGTCATGTCATTAATAAAGGTAAAACTAAAGCATATTGATGAGCAATCGTAGTGGATTGGAAGGCAGAATGACTGGATCGATTTACGCTTAATAAGCAGTATAGAAGCACGAATAAGTGACTTTATACGTTCTCAGTCCTCAATGCACCGTACTATAGACTATTGAATGGATAAATGTGTTTTAATATTTTGCTAATCAGAGTTATTCGCTAGGAAAAAACAGTTTACGAGTATATATATATTATACAAGGGACGATATAAGAGTTTAGTTTGATTGTGAGTGAAGAAGAAATTTACTTCAACAGTATTCATATCGAAGATCTACTTATCGGATATAGTATAGTAATATCAATCTAATAATCTATTTCAATTAGGTAATGGTTTCAATTGCGTATAAAAGTGAAATTATTAGGGTTTCATTACCGTACTTGAAATTAAAATATACTGATGGAATGCATGCAGCGTTAAAACTCTGCAAGTCGCTTTTTGCCATTAATTTTATAGTCATTATGGCATAAAAGTACACAACGTCACTAAATCATCATCAAGTATCAAATACTATAGAAAATAGTAAAGCACACCAATTGGCAATGGGGCAAAGTCAAAATGGTAATATTATATTAAACGTATATATTAGACGTATATAAAACGTATATTAAACGCATTAATTGAACAGCAATGACAAGGAAAACTAAAACTAAAGCAAATACATCTATTAAATAGAATTGATGCCATGAGATATTATACTTTTCCGTACGTAAATATTCACCATCATTGCAATTTAACGCATATTCCATCCAATCGCTAGCTTCCTCAACAGGTGTTCTACTATTCGGTCTATTTTGAATTAATTTCGAAATTCTAAGAGTACTTTCTATAATATCTTGTCGTGTTGTAACGTTTATAATTGCATAATACAGATCATCTTGCGTCGTTTCTTCTACATTTAATACTACTCCAACATTTTTAGCTGCTATTTTAGGCCCATGGCTGGCTTGATCACCGACAACTGGAATACCGATCATAGGTACACCATGATAAGCGCCTTCGAGAATGTTATTTAAACCACAATGCGTAACAAGTGCTTTAGTATTTGAGTGACCAAGGAGATCTTTCTGTGACCACCACTGAATAATTTTAATATTTGAAGCAATACTTTGCGGAATATGTTCCGTATATTTCCAAATAACATTATATGGTAACTGGCTAAAAGTATTAAAAAGCATTGTAACATTAGTGGCATATTTTAATGCGGTTACCTATCGTACCAAAGGAGATAACCACTGTGCCGTTAGGATTCTTCGATGCAAATTGTTGCAAATCAGAAGATAATGATTGAGCAGGTTTAGGGAGTATAGGGCCGACTACTTTGGTAGTCGGTGAAGTTGGACGAGGATAATCCATAGTAAAATCTGTATTGACTAAAAGAAATGAGGCTCGACTATACACTAAATCGGGAATGCTATCAATGCCTAAACTAGTTTTGTTTACTTCTGCAAACATGTAAGGTAGAAAAAATAAATGGACTAATGTCGATGTAAGATGAGAAACAACGACTTTAATAATACGCTGATGTAATGGCATTTTGTTGGTAAATTTGAGTCCAAGTTGTGGAACATAAGCCAACGGATTAGGTATATGGCAGAATCCAGTTACGAGTGGATCGGCAAATCCAAATGCAGCAACAGCAACCAAGACCTTAATGTTTGCTGCTTCAGTAATAATTTGACAAATAGGGCTGCTGATATCGCATAGAACTCCATCTGTTAATAAAATATTAATGATGAATTTCTTGTTACTTGACTGCTAAACAAACATTTTAATAGATTTAAATTTAATCTTTTACTTTTTAATTTTTTAATTTTAAATTTAACCTATTATACTATCTTGCCCATCAAGATTTACTTGTAAAAGTATCAAATCACTTGTAAATAACGATAAAACATTTGACGCAAATTATAATTCTATTACTAAGTAGGAGTAGCTACTAACGTGAGAATCTTATTATTGTATAATTGCATGAGCGAACTCTGTACTTATATATCCTGCTGTTGCTATCCTAACTACTCGTCTGTAAAGCTTTTAACATGACCATTATCCTCATTCAATGCTTTCTTATTAAGGTAAATTTAGCATCTATAAACATGAAAACTACATATCATCGGTTTAGTTTACGATATTTTGCAATAAGAACTAGGAATGAGAAAATCAGAGCTGGACTGTAATAAATTATCCCTTAAATACAATGAAGTCATTTACCATCTTAAAGAACGAGTTTACTATTGTTTAAACAAGAGCCAATTTTCTGCTATCGAATATCAATTAAACTGACATTCGCTTGAGTAAAAATAGGCGTCCTCAAGCGCTTTACATTAAAGTTATTGAGTATCAATAAGGTGTTAACCCTATTTACAAATAAGATGTTCTAATCGAATCAGATATCAACTGCCTGATGATAAAACCAATCTATTGGATACTGAATAGGATGCAAAGCTAGTAAATTTATTTGGGGGAGGGGGTGGTGAGCAGCAAGAATGGTGGAACTGTTGAACAGACTATCTATTAGATGATTCACTGTCTTATATTATAATTGAATGACATATCATTACCGCAATTTTGACGTTTTACATTTTCTAGTAAGTTTCTTTCTTTGCTAAAAGTAGCAAGGTCCATACCAGCGTGAATATGGCATGGCTGCAAATAGACATCGTTATTCTCTAAGGAAATGGCCGTACAATTTGCTAAGTGTTACTGCGTTACTGGAGTTTGATAATATTAGATTGCATATTTTTTAGGAGGCCGAAATTGAACAGCTGAAGATGCTACCATTATCACATTATGGCCTCGTCGATGTAATTCATCACCAATCGTTGCTACCACATGAGCATGACTATGATAATATTGAGCTGCCTGGAATATCTTGGCAGATTGGCTATGGCGAGGAAGAGCTATCAAAGCTAAAGCCAAAATTCCAAAAAACCTCCATACGCCTTGTTTGATTGCCATTCTTAATAATAGTTTGTTTCTATTTTTTGGATCTTTTGTACTTGATCCTTTAAATCAATCTTTACGTTAACAATCCTTTGATCGTTTTTCTGTTGGCAATAAGCAACTCAGCGATTTAGATTGCCATATTATCAGCTAGGTTAGCTATGTATAAAATTGCCATTTTTAAGTACAGGTGAGGTTAAAATCTATTCTTAGAAAGTTCATTTATTAATACTATATAATATAGTTAATACTTGTGATCATTGGTAACTTACTTTTTGCACTGAAAGATGATACATCGAATACCCCATTAACGAATGTTGGGGATAGATAATTTGCTGTTGAATCTAAGTTAGAGTTAGGATATTTGCGTGTAGTATAACGAGTAACCTGGTATGGTATTCAAGTTGGCAGCATTAGATTGTTAATATTGACCACGAACATAAATATAGTAATATGCATTGATCTCTCCATTTTCTTGCCTGTTGTGCTATTTAAATCAGACATATCAATAACAAGCAAATGACGAAATGTTATTCCTGAAGTCGATATCTTCGATAGAATTCCAAAATATCCAATGCGTTAAAGTGGCATTACAACACTCTCTTCGCTTCGTTATTATTGGTGGAATACATTGTCTTTCACGTTTGAAATTGCAGCAAAATTACTAATATGTGGAGATGATTTGATCAGCACAGTATTTTAGTCCTTTTAAATAGAATTTTTGGTGATACTATAGCCTACAGTAGGTTGGTTGTTCTGCCTCAATTAAAGGATTGCTGTAGGTATATTTATACTAACACCAACGCAAAATGATCAACACATTTTTCAAACATCGTAATACTTGTATAGTCAATCAATTTCAATCCTGTTATAGTAACTTACTACACTCTTATTTTTTTCTCTATATCTTGTAATTAAGTATTGTAGAAAGGTTTACGCCAAAGTCTACTAACTCATCGGGTGGCATTGGATGAAACTAAAATTCTATCATCCTATTTTCACTTTATTACAAAAGTTTCTTTTTACAGTAGGTTGTAAGTAATATGATGGACATCATTTCATTTATACTACAGCCATGTACAGTAGCTTGTTCATCATTCTATGAACATTGCATAATCTCAGTACATTGTTTTTTGCATACTGACTATTTGCATAGGAAAGAAAATGTTCTACTATCCAAGCGTGTTCCTACTCTATAGCTTTCTAACCTATGAAGAGCTATATATTGCTTACTTTAACTATCTCTTCGGCTAGAATGTATATTTTTACAGGCCCAATCTATCCAATGCTCTGGTTTTACTGATACCCAGTAGATAGAAAAAGTGTGAAGTAGGTGTATTTGTTGACCGTTTATCCAGCAAATCCTGTAACTTGCGTATTGCGATAGAGGGATGATTATAGGAATAATGTCAGGGTTACCAACCCATTCGACGTTTAAAATGATAGCGATTAATTAAGACTATTGTCACTTGTTGAAGGACTTACCTATTCATTAAGCTAGATGAGAATGCTAACACCCAGCAATATCTATAAAACACACAGATTAACAAGTATAAGAGAAATTCAGTTCACAACCCAAAATGTCAACTATAGGTCTAATGGCGATAAAGGAGCGATTACATTATGGCAATAATGTTAAGGTTTGCGTTTAAAATGGCATCGATTAAGATTGCTTTAACTGGTTGAAAGACTTACCTGCTAAGCAAGATGAGAATGTTAACACCCAACAATATCTGTCAAAGGCACAGATTAATAAGTATGAGAGAGAAATCTGTAGTATGGAAAAAGAATGTGAGAAAAAAAGATGTTCACTGGTTGACTGCCATTTCACGTGTAGAAGGCAGTAGAAGAAGAGGAAGACTAAGTAGAGAGTCGGCGCTGCAAGTTACTGTGCAAAATAGCTTGTCACCCTATAGGAGTAGGAATTGAATCTACAGCGGACAATATTATAAGCAAGATATCAACCGAGTAACCTCACTTGGACTGAGAAAGTATCGCACAGGCACGCAATTTACTGCATGCTCGCCATTCACTTTTCTTGGCTCTAATTGAAATCACTAATTTACTTTGTAAACTGTGGATAGCAAGGTGAGAAACAGAATGAAAGCAGGCGATCTCACCTTTAGGGTCGGGAAAAAGTGGAAGACAACATGGACAACAAGGTAAGACGATTTTCTTTTTGCAATATCCCTTCCAGTCATGATCGCCTTTGCTAGCAGAAATGTTGTACCAAATACATTGACTATTTTATCTTCTCATGTTATTTTGACCAAGAACTTGGTGAGATTGTTTCTCTTTCAAGTCCGTCTTTTACTGCAATTTGCAATAAACATTGAACTAGCTGCACAATTGCATTGATTGCAATACTATTAATTTTGTTTTGATTTATTTTGGGTATTGATTAAACTGACTTTTGGGGGTTTGCTTTGTGATCGACTGCAATTTCGCAAATCATTTTCTTTATCCCTATTTTTATTTTCTCATCCTATTTTACCTCAATCTTAATCCTTCATCTTTTTACAAATGTTTTCGTTTTCTCTTCAAATCTCTCTTTCACTACCATTTATAATTGGAATTGAACCAACTCAACCATTACATTCTCCCCATGGACGAATATGCAATGGTGTTTTGCATTATTTATTTTCGGGCATTGGTTTTACTGACATTAGGGGTATACTTTATCCATCTGTACAGAGCGCACATCTATCATCTTCATTGATAGAAGTGATGTTAATTTAGTTTATTAAGAGCTGAAGAGATCACCATCTACAGTATTACAAGACTGTCATCAATATTTGCTTTAGACTAGATGGGATGCTTAATGATAGATAGGCTGCAATCCATTTTCTCCATCCCAATGTTGATCTTTATGTTCTCCTATTTTACCAATGTTTTGTTAGAGACGTTTTTCCTTTTCTCTTTCAAGTCCCTCTTTGACTACGATTTGTAATAGACATTAAACTAACTCAGCAATTGCATTGACCATAGACTAGACATAGACTACACTGCTTTTAATCATGCTTTGCTTTATTTATTTTTGGGTATTGGTTTTACTGACATTGGGGGTATACTTTATCCATTTGGACAGTATACACATCAATCATCTTCATTGATTATGGAAGCAATGTTAACTTAGTTTATTGTCACTCTCGTTAAATTGCACTGGGTACAAGATACAAGATTAACTTTACATTTCATGCAAATCTTTTTCACGTGGGTTACTAAGCAGTAATCCTCGCTACCCCTGATGATGAGTTGAGAGTGTTGAAGATTCCATTGCATGTCCTCTATATCGAAGTGAGGGGATGGTAGAGTGATTTGTAGCTGTAGTGTTTGGGGGTTATAAATATTCAAACTAGATCCATTTTTATATAGTATTAACTGCTTGTCCGACCATAGATTTTCATGGTTGAAGAATTGTGTAAATGGGAGATGATCGAAGTATTCGAAATTGTCTTTGTATCTTTTCATGCTTAAATTTCCGTATTCGTCGAGTATCGAGTATTTCTACCATTTGCGTCTGTATTTTCTACTATCGCAGTCACAAGGATAAATATAAATGTTTAATAAGAGCAAACATAGCATTGAAGAAATTATCTAATGGCATGTCTTAAAATAAGTTCATTAATTGGGCGGTACAAAGGCACATTGAATACATACGAAAGAAAACTAAAATCATTTCTGAGCTAATATAGCCCGATTTCATCGGTGTTGGTACTGTAGAGCTGTTTTACTTCAAAATATATGCGCTTGCTTGCTAGCAGTAGAATTTACATTAACCTTTAAATTGACGACGTTAAAGTCAATGCGCATATTAAAATGGAAGGAATGGAATCAGTAAACGATAAAGCTATTATAGTTAGTACTTTAAGTCATCTATACAGAAATAAATTAGACTTTTTAGCCTACAGTGGGCTAGACTACGAATTTCTTACAGACTTAATATTTATTGATATTATACACGTAAAGAAAATGGGGGAACTGATGTATAACTCAATGTAAGAAATAATCAATTTGCTAGTAAATACGAAAGCAAAATTGGTTCTGTAAATCTAATAGCTCATCTATGTCAAGTACTACAAGAATATAAACCAAAATCCCAGAATTGCGAATTAACTAATGTTTATCAAAATTAATCCAGCAAGGACTCGAGTTTATCACTAATTAGCTTACCGGATGACATAACCCACTTATGGATAGATCCGGATTCAGAAGTATCGCTGCAATCGCAAAATATCACATTGGAGCTGCCATCGAGAGGATCAGAAACAGGATTAAAGCGATTACAGCTAGGACATTTTATAAAGTATGAACAATCTGATTTTGTGCATCCTGGCATCCTTTCTTTAATCAGGGATGCTAGTTTATTCCGAAGAAATTCATATGGCTTCTCATTTATGAATTTTTTCACCTTTGCTTCTATTGTTTTCTGTATTTGTGGTTTATTTGGTACCATTCGATAGCGATATTGGATACCAATATAGGAACTCTCTTTTTTAACTACAATATCATAACAATCTTCTTTCAGCCGATATTTTTCACACTTGTAACGTAGCTCAATCTTTAACTTTTTCCATTCTTTATAGCAAGATACAAGTAAACAAAATAAAATGCCATCAGGAATATTAGGCATTTGTGATGGCTTAAATCCAACGTAAAGCCATCCTGACTCTTTAAATCCTTTGCAATCAAGCTCTTGGCTATTTGAACGAAGTAAATAGGGCACGAAATACTGATCAGTACTATCATCATCTTCTTTCCTGACCTTGCAAATAATGCCATAAGATTCCATTAAATCTAATAAAAATTTTCTTTCCTTTTCTTCTACTTTGAGCTTATCGAATTTAGAATTAATATAGTTTTGCGACATGATTCCTATCTTTCCAGCTTCTATATATTCTTTCTTTCTTGTCAGCATTTTACTATCAGGTTTATGTAACTGAATAATAGAACGAAATACATCTAATAGCCATTCAACTTGAGTAACAACTTCTCCTTGGACAGGTTCATTTTGGCAATAAACGATTTCTCTTAGATCATGAAGACAGCGTAACATTTGATGAACATCTTCAGTGCCGTCGCATAATTTGTACTCTTCGGCTAATAGCTTGATTTCTTCAGCTGTCATAATTCTGCTAACGCTCTGATTTAACTTTGTAGGAAATGCCTGCAATATAGCTGCCATAATATACCATTTATGTGAAATTTTAGATAAAGGATCAATGGAGGGTTGATGATCAACAAAGTCCCATAGAATATTATGTAATTTTGTACAATTTTTTTGACGCTGCGATCGCGTTTCTTCACTGTTATCCTTGTGATTACAGTTAAATATAATTCTAGATCCATATATGTGATCACTATAAAAAGGAAATTCTTGAAGAATAGTATTTTCAAATATCTTAAATCTTTCTTGACAGGCCTTTTCATCACCTAATTTATCAGCGTGTGTCCCGACTAAAATAACTATAGGCCATACGATATCTTCTGAAACACCATTAATTTTGGCCTTTGTCTTAGCAATACTTTTACTACTACCGATAATTGAAGCAAGCCATTCTTGTACGGCTTCCAAGTATGTCATTTCGGTGTTCTCGCCTTCTTGATTAACGACATGATTGTTCATATCTTGAGACATATCTAGGACGAGAAGATAAATGTAATTGTGCGATAGGAATGGCTGATGAGTTATGTGATAAATGGAATGACAAGCAACGTCCCATAGTTTATCGTAATGGCTGTGATCTATTACTGAAGCTCTATCTGATTCAGAGCTTCCTCGAAAGTAATTCTTAAGAAAATCTAGTGGAATCATGTCTTCATCAGCCTGTGTAGTCTGAGGACTGGTCTCGACGAGATTGCTTGTAGAAGCAGTACTATCTAATTGAGTTGATGGCGATGGTGTCGAGGATTCAATATTATTCGAGCTGGAATCAGAATGTGATTCCTCTTCTCGTTTTAGGAGTTTAACATCTCCGATCGCTGTAATGACTTTTCTAGCTAGAACTGCTTTAAAATCATCAACTGATTTATCATCCATGTTATAAGTGACCAATTTGACAAGTTCTTTTGTGATTACTTCTGCTGTTGTCGCTTCAACTGCATGAATGAAGCCTTGTTGTATAAAAGCTTGAATAAGACATGATTTTCCAACATTTTGCGGACCGGTAATTATGATCCTAATAATTTCATTACGACAGGATACGTATCTTCTAGCTTCAACATAGGCTTCCTTATATTCTTTTTCTTAGGATAAATATGAATATTAAATTTTGAATAAAGAACGAATAAATTATCATGCTTCATTTTTAATTAACTTCATCTATAGTATTCTACGAAATAATCCAATCTGTAAATCTACCCTACTAGGCATTTAAAATTATCTCAGTTTAAATCTAAAGACATAAGATAACGGTACGAATTAAGGCTATCGCCAATCCTAACAACTGTACAACCTTATCTATGGCTATTTAACTACTTGATAAAATAATGACTCCAATGGTAACAGTTTAATAATATTTTATAACTAGGATTATTGATCTTTCATTTAATGCGAATAAGGAGAACATTATGTAATATTCTCATCGCCAACAATTAATTACGGTGAAAAAATATATTACAAACTTTATTTTGTAATATAATAAACGAAAAGAATTATACATTAATCAACAATATTTGTTTAAAACAAGTTTTGTTACCGCGTCCGTTCCTCGAGGTGTTAGCTTTTATCTCGAATTTTCTAGCAGGATTTTGATTATTTGTAACTTGGCTATCCTTTAGTGTGCAGCAAAACTGAAAATAGTTGTCATCGCGTCTTGATTTTAGTATTTTAATAAATTGAAGGATTCTCTCGTTATTACTCAGGCGAACATCTTTAAGTTTATTAGCTTCGTCATCAGATATTAACCCAATACTTTGTAAATCGTGTACAATATCCACCAAAGGGACATCACTCAAGATCTGTTGATCTCCCTTATCGATGACATAGGTGAGGCATTTGCTCATAACCATTTTTTGAAATACTTTTGTCAACTCTGCTTGAAAAATTATTTGAGAAGAAATGTGACATTGGATCAATATTACTTTAAAACAAAGTACTGTACAGCGCTGCAAAAGAACAGGTAAAGGCAGAAAAGGTTTAATCCTAGCTAAGACGATCCTAGTTTGTAATGAGATCAAAGTTCAGATTTTTGGCTACGTTTTGTATGCTTGATTTTGTAAAAACTATCAAATAGGCAAAGGTCAGGGCAAAAGATGAACTAATGAATCACTAATCTTATATGGAAATATCCAAGATCAAATTAAAGATAAAATGGGAGCAGCTTATTTACCGGATACGAATTAACGAACATATATATATTTACGAACATGTCTAAGAACTACAGTGAAACTAAATACACTACAGTTACATTAAGCTTAATCAATCGTTTTGGAGCGTAAAGTTTTAATAACATTTGTTGGCACTGCTAAAATCAGACAAGATTTACTCTATCACAAGAGATATTGTACAAAAACAGAAGGCTCCCACAGATTCAATGCAATGACATTACAATTAATAGAACTAGGTACCACTTGTTGCGACCACACTAAAACACTCTACACGCTTCCTATTTTGAAGGTGTCCGATTTTATTTCAATCTCACCTATTTGTGCTTATTTTACTATTGTGATCATTACTGCCCTTCTTATTTGCATAATTATAGTGCAGTCTCATAACAGTCAGGCAACGTGCAGCTATATTCAAATATTAAGCTTTGCCCAGATTACGAATTGGTGCTTACGACAAACAACAACGAATAGTTAACTGAGCACAATAATATAAGTATCCTAACGCACCCCTATCGTTAGATTGTAACTCAATCCATGTATGCTGACATTCTAGCTACTATGACTATTAACAGTTAATATGCATATCAAAAAGGAACAAAATCAATCAAACATCTTCAGAAGAACATAACCTCGAAAGGCAATCAGCATTTGTGTTAAATAAAGCTCATTTAGAATAAAAATTGATATTAAAATCGGACAGCAACACCACTGCAAATAATTAATTGGTGCATATAACATGCAGTTTTATAAATTACACCACAGTAGTAGTAGTGTGAAGGCAAGGCTTCAGTAGGAACAATCTTCTATTTCAATATTCCTCAGTACTACAAAAATAAGGAGGCTACCCTATATCATTGCATTTACTTCTAGTGACTAACAGAATAGAGCCACCATGGAATGATCGATTTAATGTACATAATTATTCGTTTAATTAATTCATTATATATAAATCATTATGTAAGATTATTACGGTATTGAGGGGCTATCATACAATAATTTTCCTTCCAATATAGATCGTTTTAGATCTGGACTACTTTCAAATATAAATAACCATTTATATAATCTATTGCTTACTGGTGTGTGATAACTTTAAAGAAGAGAATCCAATTTTATCCTTTCACTCAAATCATAATATTGACACTAAGACTGCTTAGCTTTGGAGAATGTAGCAAGCCTACGAAAGACGAAGACTATTCCTCTGCAGAATAATATAATCCGCAACAGCACAACCGGTATGAATGATCATCAGTACTGGAATGTATACTGGCTTCAATTAGCATGGACTCCCAGAAAAAACACCTTGGACTGCACCAGGGACTACTGCATGAAAAGGAAAGAAAGAGGGACGCAAAGCAGCCGTCAGTGCAAAATAATGTGCAGGCCTATCATTTTTCCCCTCATTCTACAGTACCGATGAAACCGTTGAATAACATTCATCATCTAAAGCAGAGCTTAGTGCTGTAACAGGCACAACTTAATTTCGAAAATATTAGTCAGTTCAGAATCGACTGTCTGCATACTAAAGTATGACCAAAATAGGCCAAATGTCTGTCCGTCCAAAGGAGTGTCCAGTCCAGGTATTTTTTCTAGTAGCCCATAACTAAGGGCAATTGGGCAATGGGCATTCGTAACATCCCTTACGATACTAATTGCAACAGACTAAAATCACAGATGGTAATTACTGAACAAAACTATCGCTGGCATTACTGAGATCATGGTAGCATCATTATTTTGGTATCATGGTAGAATCATTATTTTGATTCTGATTGCATATACAATTGAATGCATCAATTTTACCCTTCCTTTTACCTTGAGAGGTCGCTGCAGCTGTTGGCTTTGAGCTTTGCTTTTCATCAGATTCTTTATTTTTATTTTTCAATTCGTCCGATGTATAACCGTTCTGTTGATTTTGGCTACGTATCATTTCAGTATTTTCAGTATTGTCCTCTGTTTTTTTATCTGTCCTTTTAGTTCCGTTATTTTTACTTTCTAGATTTCTAACATTTTGATTTGGATCGAACAGTTTGCCATTTTGTTCAGCTAAATGATACAATAGTAAATTAATTTTTTCCGTATTTTCTTTCATCATTGGCATTAATTCCTTTATGTCTTTACTGCAGTTTTTAAAATCGGAGACATTTAAAGTTTCTAAAAATTTTTCAATGTTCTCTTGGACTAGTTGTTTTACACTGTCATTTGAACTATTAAAACTATGTACGTCTCCCTTTATTTTCTCAAGCATCGTTACTATCAATGACTTTTCGTCTACTAAGACCTCATTTAATATATTTTGAGCATAGTGTTTTAGATCTTCAACATTTTCAACTTTGCCCAATTGGGTCTGATATTTGAAGTTTTTTTTAATAGCAGATGAATCCAAAAGCTCGTAAGATTTTTTATTGATTGAGCCAGAGCCCTCAAGGAATGATTTTTGGCGGAAGCCATATTCACAAATGTCGCTTTTTTCCCCCTTCAATTTGTAGTACTTTACTGTGTTGTCCTCGACAGTCCTAATGCCAATATTTTTTAATAACTCGGAGGCTCTGATCTTTTTCTTTTCTGGTAAAACTTTTAATTCACTTCCAGTACCTTTTGACCTACGATACGAATATTGCATATGTTCATTTTGTGTTCAGCAAATTCTTAATCCATTATAGAAATGTGAAGAGAACGACATTCTAGACCACTAAGTCCATTTTTATAGCGAATGCTACCCAACATGAAGCAAAGTACTCTACAAAACTACGTATATTAATGCAAGATGTTATATTCACAAATGTAGATTAAATTGCATAATCATAAGTTACAAGACAGCTGATAGCAGCTGATAGGTTATAAAAGCCTGCGCATGTTGATAATATAATAAATTACCCATCACCATTAAAAGACCGTGGATGGAAAATGCTTTACTCATATTTGCATGTAAGTACACAAGGGACCTTGCAGATATTCAATCAGCTATATTCAGGTTACATTTAGCGATTAATATATTTTAATTCTAAATAAAAAGTATTTCTAATTTTCATGAATTAGGTTACCAATCATTTCTTATAGGATTACCGAAGCAATTCAACTAATAAAAACGTATCTCGCAGTATTCGGCCCAGCTAATTTTAAAACCAATAGTGCTGAACTTAGGGTAAATGGTTTAATTAATGATGCACCACTGTACGAGTTTATATCCGAACTTTATACCACTTGAAAATTAAGATATTCCATCAAAGCAATACCGTAAGTAAACTGATATATGCCCCTGAGTGATGGAAAAATTGTTATGTAAACCGGAAATTTGGACAAGAGGGTAAAAACAGATTATCCTTGCTATAGTGCAATATCGTACACCTTTCAATTGGCATAAAGTTTGGAATATATGCAGACTCTAACAGATGTGCATCAGTGTTTAAGCTATTTCCAGTAAATATCAAAGTTGGCGGCAGTAATACTGGCTAAGTTTAATGATCCTTTACAATGCCATCATGGCAACTATGCTCTTGAACGATGTGTTAAGCGACGAGGGTTACATTAGGGTTAAGCAAGCACTCACAGCGGGACTACAGTACGCTTGACATAGTGACGATAAGAACTCCATTGCCTTTTTTTATAGTAACTAATGTGAATCAAAAACATTCCCTTACTAGATTACTCACTACTAAAATAATGTTAGAAAAGTTCATATTGAGAGTAATAAGCAAAGATAATCCAAGTCAAACATGTACGAAAATTTAAAATAGATATCGTGCAGAATTTCTACGATATGAATTTAGAAATTCAAACCGCCTTGTTGCGTAAATAATTAGCGATACACTTGGAAAGAAAATCTGTTCATACATACAGGTAAGAAGTCATGTGTTTCTTGCTAAAAGTAGGACTGGCAATAGTCTTGATAGCAAACTCAGCTAGATCAACTGGCTTTGAATTGCTTGACGATGTAGTTTCTTCGTTCGCAAAGGCTTTAATAATAGCATCAGTCATGTCATCAGCCAATTTTTTAATATAATGATAATTGATTTCATCGGAGATATAAGATATTTGTTGTTCAAACATTAACAAGATTTCCAAAGCCATCATTGAGATTGCCAATGTGGTATCGTCATTATCGGGTGCTATTTTGTCAATAAGTTCTTTCAATTTCTTTCTATCGTATTTTTGGAGATACCATTCAATACCATCGCCCAACAACTGTATTATGATGTTTGCAGTAGCAGAACATCTAAAAACGCTTGATACTCCGCCTGTGACTGCCGTTGCTGTATCTGAAGCCGCGCTCCCCAAGATATTGGTAGCAACTTTCACACCTTTTCCTGTTTTGCCTAGTGGTGCACTCTCTTCGTTTTCTACAATTTTGGAGGCAATTTCCAGTTTTACAATGAATTTGAGTATAAAGTGCTCAGAAATGT